GCCTCTTGGGGTCTCTTTTTGAGCCTCTTGGGGGCCTCGTGGGGCCTCCAGGGGGCCTCCAGAGCTCTCTTGGGAGGCTTCCTGGGGGCCTCTTGGGGCGGAAGGCTCGACTTGGTAGTTCGTGTTCCCCCTCTTGGGCACCTCTTGGGGCCGTCTCTAGGCGTCCAGGAGGCCTCCAGAACCTCCAGGTGGTCCGGAAGATCCCACACCCCTGAGGGGCCCGGCTAACAAAACCCGCGAGGCACAAACAAAAAGCAGCGCCGAATATCGCCGAGGAACTGGAAAAAATTGAAATCCCACAATTATTGCGAAGGCCTTACGGCCGGTGCCGCCGACCCTGGGCGGTCTTGGGGGCCTCTGGGGTTCATCTGAGAGAGTCGGAAGCCCGAAAACGCGAGAACGCGAAACACATTGAAAACACAATGGAAATCAATGATATGTTCTTCTTTGGGCCATCTTTGGAATCCTCTTGGAGCGCCCCTGGGGCTTCTCTGGGGCCTCTTGGGCCGTCTTGGGGCCATCATGGGCGTCTTGGAGCGCTCTTGGGCCGCGGCTCCGGTTCGTGATTCGTGGGCCCTTGTGGAGCTGCCGTGAGGTTCCTTGGGCCGCTCCTGGGGCGATCTGGAGGGCCCCGAACACCGCTCCCCAGGAGTTCTGGCAACCGTGCCGGGGACCGGCCGGGATTTCAGGCAGGTGCTTTTCGTCGGGGGACCCCCGGGGGGCAGCCGCGCGCGCGCGCGCGGACCAGAAGTATTCTGAAGCTGATGCCGAAGCTGTTGGCACGCCTTTGGCCCGTCGGGCCGGCGAATTGTTTTTGGCCTCTGGAGGTGGTCTGGGTTCCATTTGAGTCCTCTGGGGCCGTCCAGGGGACCTCTTGGACCCTCTTGGGGCAATCTTAAGCAGTCTTGGGGCCCCCTGGAGGCCATCTTGAGCCGTGTTCAGGCCCTGTTGGACCCCAGGAGGCCCAAGAGGACCATATCATTGATTTTCAATAGATTTTGTACGTTTTCGAGCCTCAGGAGGGTCTGTCATCTTTGGGTCCACGGATGTGGCGTGATTCCGGTCGGGCAGGTGAAGGGGGGACCGCAATCATATAATATCCACGTCTTGAAAGTGACGTGCTGAGCGCCAGCATTGCTTTAATGCAGCTTATCCGAATGTATCCAAGTATGGCAGAATTGCTACACGCTAGTTCTTTTACATTATTATGTGGCCCCCTTCACCCCTCCACCGGGGTCACGCCACATCCGTGAACCAAAGATACCTTGCCCTTCTGGGCTTCAAAAACCTATCCAAACCTATATAACATCAATGATTTGGGCCTCTCGGGCTTCTTTTGGGCCAAAGATGGCCAAAGGGGCCTCACAACGGCTCAAGATGGCCCCAAGATGGCCTTAATACGGCCCCAAGACGGTCCAAGATGGTCCCAAGAGTGCCCAAGAGGCCCACAAGACGGCGCAAGGTAGCCCCAAGAGGACCCCCAAGAGGGTGCCTGGAGGCCAAAAACAATACTTTCCCATAGGTTTTTGAACGATGTTAGCGTTTGCGGGGGGTCATGACGGCCAAAGCAGCCTCTAAGATGGTTCCAAGACGGCCCCAGAGGCGGCTTCGAAGAGCCTCTCGAGACGCCCCGAGAAGGCGACTGTCCGAGAGGCCCCCAAGATGGCCCACGAGGACCCAAAGAGAGCCACGGCGGCCTCTGGGGGCCTCTTTGTGGCCTCTGTATGGCTTCTTGGAGCTTCTTGGGGGCCTCTTAGGCAGTCTTGGGGCGCTCTTGAACAGTCTGGCCTCTCTGGAAGCCGTTTCGGATGTTTTTCTGGGCCGCCGTGGGACTCTTGGGATCCTCTTGGGCCGTTTTGGCCTCTTAGATCGTCTTGGGGCTTCTTTGGGCCATATGGGGGCCGTCTTGGGCTCCTCTTGGAGGCCTCTGGGGCCGTTCTGGGGCCATCTTGGAGGGTGATTGGGCCGTCATTAGCTTTTGAGAATCGGAAAAACCTATGGGACATCTATGATTTTGGCCTCTGGAGGCGCTCTTGGGGGTGCTCTTGGGGCCCTCCTGGGCCGTCTTGGGAATTTGTTGAGCCCTCTTAAGGCTATCTTGGACTGTCCTGGGCCGCCTTGACGCCCTCTTAGACCCCCAAGTGGCCCTAGGGGCCCAGATCATAGATCTGTCCTCCGGTTTTTGTAGGTTTGGGGGCCCAGATGTCTCGGGCACCCAAGCACTGTTGGCAGGGAGCACTATTACAAGGAAGCGTGCCCGCGATGGGGGGCGGGAGGAGGGAGGAGGGTGGAGGGAGGAGGGTGGAGAGTGGAGGGAGGAAGAGGGAGGAGGGAGACACGGAGGAGGGAGTACAGGGACTACAGCCGTCGCGTAGCGATAAGATTGGGGGGGGGGGGGCGGTAGAAAACCGCAGGGTTGCAGCCCCAAAGAGGGTCCCAAGAGGGCCCCAGGGGAGCCCACGACCACCCAGGAGTGTTCGAAGGTGGCCCTCGATGGCTTCAAGACCCGAGGGCTTGGCGTCGCTCGGACGTGTGCATTTTCTTCTCGGCGAGGACCGTCGAAGAGCAGCTTGGATCATCGTGCGGAGAAACACACGCACGAAACCGAAAAAACGCACGGGGAATGGACATCCGAGCGATGGCGAGAGGACGGCTCCTCGGGCGCACACAGCACCACTATGGATCGGGCACGGAAGTCGCATGGTGGATCTTGTTGTACAAGTTCCCACGGGTGTTCCGCACCTCACGCGTTGTTCTATAGATTAGGGTGGTTTGACGTCTTGGACCGTCTTGAAGCCGCTTCAAGACGGTCCAAGAGGCCTTCCAGGGTCGTCTTGGGCTGATGCCGCATCCCTGGACGCTTACCTTTTGGCCGCACGGGGGGGTCTTGAGGATTGGCTGGTTCTCAGACTGAGAAGCCCGGAGGCATTCAATGATCGGCGTACTCCCGTGCGGCGCGGGCATCCGCAAGACTCGTCTTTTTCTTCGCCGTGGGGGAGCACACGCAGGAGGAGGAAGAGGAGGAAGAGGGCAGGAGGAGGAGGAACAGGAGGACGAGGACGAGGAGGCAGGGAGGGAGGACCGACGAAGAGGAGGAGGAGGAGGAGGATGAGGAGGAGGATGCTCGGCGGAGTCGCTCCGTCCTTCTTCATTCCTCGTCGCCGCTGGATCGCTTTACGGGGTCCCGCGTGAGGCTCGGCGTGCCTCACGGAGCACCCGACCTGCTCCGCTCGTGCTGCACCTCTCGCTTGCAGCGCTTGTGACACACTGGGGTTCCAACGTTGTAGAGGACGATCAATGGAGAGGAAGCATGTTGCCAAATAATTTCCAGATCTCTGAAACATGTGTTAAAAATGTTAATTGTGTAACACCAGTTGTTTTGAAACACATGTTTAGAACATTTTCCGGCAGTTTACACACATGTTCAATTCAATGATAGGATTGTTAGGGTGCCCTTTGTCGTGGCATCCACACGGTTTTGCAAGCAGAACCACAGAAAAGCTCCACAGGGGGATTGGTGAGAGGGAGGACGCCGTTGTTGGGCGCGTTTTGCTGGAATCGGCGTTTCGTTTTGGGACCTCCTCACAATTTCTGCTGAATTCATGTTTTCGCTTCAGTATGGCTTACACTCGTGGTCCGTACGGCCAAGGTCCCTTGTACAAAAAGTAGCCTCCATATTGTTACCCTCCCAGGTCGCGAACGTGTGGCAGGGACATTGGCTTTTACCTTTCCAGTTCTGGCCAGGTCACCAACGCGCGTCTGCACCATAGAACTCTCACCATTTTAGCGTCGTCACGTCACGAACTAGTTGTATTTCTTACAACTTGAGTCTTCTCAGGTCACGAGCGCGCGGCAGGGCCATACGGTTCTCACCATGTGAGGCCTGCCAGGACGCGAAGCCAGGTCACGGACGCGCGCTGAGCCCGTGGGGTTTTCACCGCCCGGGTCCTTCTGGGTCACCGACGCTTGGCAGGCCATTCTGATTTCCACCAGCCCTCACAGAACACGTTACCAGGTCGCGGACGTGCCACAAACAGCGACAAAGCCAACAAATCTTCGGCGCCGTAGACGCCTCAGGGTCCGCCGATGTGGTTTCTTCATTCCGCGGCCCTGTGTGCAGAACCCTTCCGCGCGTTCTGGACGCGTCTCTGGTGTTCCCTCGGCTCGGATTTCCGCGCCTTGAACAATCGAAACGGTGGGTTCCTCTATCCTTGGCATCTGGCTTGCGCTTCTGGGCTTTCGGGCCGTCGAGAAAAAACGTTCCCCCATACTGGCCCCACGCGTTTCCCGCGGCCGCGCGCAGAGTGGGCTCGGGGAGGAGTAGGAGGAGGAGGAGGAGGAAGGAGGAGGAGGAGGAGGAGAGGAGGAGACGGAGGATGATGATGATGATGATGGATGATGATGGAGGAGAGGAGGAGGAGGAGGAGGAGGAGGAGGAGGAGGAGGAGGAGGAGGAGGAAAAGCAAAAGGACAAGGAAAAGGAAAAGGAAATGGACAAGGAAAAGGGGGAGGAGGAGGGGGAGGCGGTGGCGAAGGAGGAGGAAGCAGAGGCGGTGGCGAAGGAGGAAGAGGAGGTGGAGGAGGACGAGGGGCCGTAGGAGGTGTGGGTCTGCGGCGTGGGAGAATGAAAGAATATGGAGGTCGGCGTCGGGTTGCGAGCTTTTGGGGCCGTGCAAGGCAGCGTCGTCTCCACTCGGACGCGCCGTGGGCTGGCGTGTCCGCTGGTCCGCTGTGAGGACGGGCGTGCGCGCGTATTAACGACGGCTGCTGCGCCAGAAGGGACCCCAGCAGAAGGTTTGGGCTCGTCTTGCCGGTGCCGCGATGGCTGCCGCGCGCAGGCGTGCGCGGGGAGTCACAGAACTGCTGTGCCAGAGAGGGCCCCAGCACACGATTTGGCCTCGTCTTGTTGGGGCCACGGCGATTTGCGGAGCTGCAGGCAAAAGGAGCAGAGGTCGCCGCAGGCGGGGGCGGAAGTTGTCTTTCCGGGGCGGCCTGGATCGTGTGCGAGGCCCTTCGGGCCACCCCCTGGGCCGTCAGCGGCGCCCAGTGTCAAGCAGTGGCGAGGCGTCCTGGCTCGCCTATAGGCCTACCAAGCAATCTGTTCTAAGAACCTCTTGTGGTTCCAACGAGATGTTCTGAGAACATGTCTGGCTGCGACGGTCTTGTTTTAACCTCAGCGCGTGAACTACCTACCCCGCTTTCGCTTCCAGGCAAAGCCAAGTCATTCCACGCGCCTCCTCGTCAAGCGGCCTGACCAGTACAGGCCGTAGTTTGGCATCGCTTGGTATCTCTTGGAAGCGAGGGTGGTCAAAAGCGAGGTAGGTTTGTTTGCCCCCTATTAACACATAGGGATTCTGTTCTAAAAACATTGATTTTGTTCTTAGAACATTTTTGGGTTCTAAGAACATTTCGTGGTAGGACTACAGGAATGCCAGGACGGTCGGTCCCTGCTCAACAGTGGGCCGCATTGGGGACATATTGGTCCGAGTGGGGCCCATGTTGGGGCCGGCTCGGGCCCTTCTCGGCAGGCTCCTCGGGTGTCGCAGGGAGGTCTCTCGGGCCGTTTCGGGGCCGCTTTGGGGGCCGTCGTGGGGCCCTCTGCGGGGCGTCTTGGCCCGTTTCGGGTCGATTTCGGGGGGCTCTGAAGCAATTTGCCCCCAATGTCTCGGAGATGGATAGACCTCCTACCCTGACACGTCGATTGGGGAATTGGCCGTTTTCGGTTCGCGAGAGGGCGTCGTGGCCGTCATTTTTGCGGGTCCAGGTCCGTCGGTTTCGGTCCCAGGCCGTTTTCACTAAGGGGAGGTTTACTAAAGAGAGGCTTGTCCACCGCCGAATGCCAGTTTTCCTGCAGGAGTGGAACATGATGTGTCCTTGCGGAGGCCCTCGTGGGGATCCCTTTTGGAGCCATCTGGGAGCGTCAGCCAGGCCTCTCAGGCCGTCTGCGGCGCCTTGTGGGCCGCTTTCGGCTTGCGTTGGGGCCAACGGGGCCCTGGTGGAGCGTCTTCGGAGCGTCTGGGGGCCCTGCTGGGCCGTCTGCGGCGCCTTGCCGGTGGCATTGGGGTTATCTTGGGCTGGGTGGGGCCCGTGCTGGGCCATCAGAGGGCCATGTTTGGGCGGTGTTGGGCCCGTCTCGGGATCCTCTTGGGCTGTCTTGGGCGTCGCGTGGACTGTCCCGGGCCGCGAGCGTGCATCATTTTCTGCGCTTCCACTTTTGAGGAGCTGCACGGGACACGCTCGCGCAGTTGTATGGTCTGCCGGAAGTCAGAAACTGCGCCAGCGTGCCCCGTGCAGATCCTGCCCCCTGGGTTGGACGGCTGAGCGGCGGCCTCGTTTCGCTATTCGATTCTGCTTGGCGGCAGCTCCGTTTTGAGCGTGCATTCTGACTGTGGGTGCCCCCTGTCGCTTCCCTTTGGGCCACGGCCTTGCTCTGAACGCCGTTGGAGTCGGTCCTGGGGCTCCCTTCTTCTGCCCGCTGCAGGTGCCGCGGTCGCAAGGGGGCCAGGTGCAGGTGCGCCCTCAAGAGGGCCGCTGCGCCGTGGGCGGCGGCGGCGGAGCAGCAGCCGGAGAGCCAGCCGGCACAGGACGGGCCTGAGAGCAGGCCCACCACCTTCGGGGGCAGCCTCTTAGGGAGGGGGATACACAGGCGTCGGAAACAATTCAGCAACGCTCACGCGCAGCACATGGTTTGAATTCCCCGCCTATACCCCGCGACTGCATAATGTTGGTCTTGTATCTTCCGAGTTTGAGTGTCCGAGAGGTAGCGCGTAAGAGTGCCAACTTCTAATTGCGGGGGAGGGCGGAGCGTTGCTTATTTGTCTCCCTCAACCTCAAACGTCGGCTCAGGGGGGATGCATCCACCCCAAGTCGCGCATGTATTGCAACAGTAGCCCCGAAACGCCCCAGAAACTTCAGATAACCTCATGGGATCTCATGGGGGGGGGCTCAAACAATCTCCGAAGAACCCTGAAGCCTTACGGAGCCCCCGAAAATCCTCGAAGACTGGTCCAGGGCCGCCAACGATCTGATTCGATGCGATTTGGTTCGCCGGCTGGGGCCGTGACTGCGATCCGATTCGATTCGGTTCAATGAACCAGCATCGGCTCGGTTTCGATTCGGTTCGGGATGATTCGCTGGCGGCCCGATCCGTTTCTGCGCTGATCCGACTTCGCGATTCGGTCCTGCTCAGGCTGGCCATGGGCTCAGCGGACGAAGAACGGTACAAAATGATTTGTTCCACGATCGGGGGTACTTGTCCCAGCGCGGCTGGACAGTTTGTACCCCCAACGTGCCAACGTAGGGGTATAAACTTCCCAGCCGCCCTGGGGCAGGCGTCGCTATCGGCGGACAACAATTACTTTATACTGTTCTTCGTCCGCTCGGTTTACCAGCCTGGAACATATCCGCATCCCCATGATGGGCATCGGCTTACCTCGATGCCGATGTTAGGGATCCACTCAGTTTCTGAGGGCGCCTCATGCCGTGTCAATCTCAGGGACAGGAAGGAGCTCGAGGCCGGTTCCTGAATAGCTCTTGGAGAGCTAGGAGTGATTCAGATTTGAAGCCAGCACACAAAAGTAGCCCAGGAGCTCGTTCCGGTTGCTGGCAGGAATCCTCGCAACGCCTCCTGTGTGTGAGCCAGCAGCGTGTCCCAGAAGTTTGTTGTGACTGTTTCCCAATACGTGTGCCGTCACGCTTTTCAGAAGCTCTTTCCAAGAGCTTCCAGAGCTCCCTCGAAGGACCTCGTGACGGCTTCTGTCGCCGCGATAGTCGGGTGTTGGACAGCTGGAGCACGATGAGAATAAGGGTGAGGGGATGTGAGGGGGAGGAGGGGGAGGAGGAGGAGGAGGAGGAGGAGGAAGAAGAGGAGGAGTAGGAGGAGGAGTAGGAGGAGGAGGAGGAAGAGGAAGAGGAAGAGGAAGAGGAAGATGAGGATGCTTGGTTATGTTCGTGATGCCCGCCCTGGAGGTCCAACGAGCCAGACGAGCAGGATCGCCACCGCGTGTGAGCTGCAACCCTGCGGTGCAGGGCCAGCGGGGCAGCAGACCAGCCAGTGTGCGTGTTTTTTCTTCCTCTCGTTTTCATCAGCCTTTTCAGCTGTGGCGCATGGATCAACCAGATCCACCACGATCTCCGTTCGGGAGAACCCAGCGCTTTGTTCGCATGTAGGGCCGATTAGGCCGTCACATGGGAAGGACATCGGTCCAGGGCAGGAAGATTGCATGTGTTGGCCAGAGAGCCAGGCATGCTATCGGTTGGACCCAGGCAGTGTGCAGATATCCACCCATAAAACAGGGACGTGCGTCCGACCATCGCAAGGTTCAGTTTCGCGGGCGCAGGAATAAAGTGCCTGTCCATGCAGCTGCCAGGACGTAGGTCCATCGTTGTATCCGTCCTTCACGTTCATGCTTGTGTCTGTCTGGTGCACCCGTCGCTAAGTAGCGCATCTTACTCGTCACTACGAAAACATCAGGCAGATTAGGCAGGTTGGAGTCGACTGGTCAAACATCACTTCGGTCGGCAACACCAAGCTGTGACAACAAGCACCCAACGGAACAATTCGCAGGCAGGACTAGACAACGAAATGGTGATCCCCACTGATCGATGTGCGTCCGAATCGAGTTCGTATCAGCGAAGAAAGAAAATAGCACCGTCCAGATGAATGATGAGACGACGCACCATTCCTGAAGAGGGGCTTGACAGACCGAAAGGTATAATGACCAAGCCAGTCTGAAGGCATTTGGTCTTCCTGGTGATTCATGGGCACGTCGAGCCTTTTGACCTCTGGACCAGCAAGCTTCGAACCCCGTAGGTCCAGAAGAGCGTACGTTTCTCTTTGGGATCCCAGCGCCAGCCAAACAAAACATGGACGCTCCATGGCGAAGATGTCCGCGAAGGCCAGAAATGATTCACGCTTCGCGTATCCCCACCAGCCCGCCTAGGCCTCTGTTTGCTGGCGCGTTAAGCAATTAGGTTCGCGCGCGGCCCGCCCGTTCCGTTACTCGCCGCCTGCGCTTTCGCTTGCGGTTGCGACAAAAAAGTATCCCCACCAGCAGAGCCTGGCCGTGTTTGCAGCTGCCGCTTGCAATGGTGGGACGCGCCCCATACGTGGATTGCTCAGGAGTGGTTTAGCCTTCTTGTTCAGCCATCTGAGGTTGTCACTGTTGGCATGCGGCACTGGTACGTTGGACTGCTTGCGCAGCCCCGCGCTTTGCCACGCTCGGTGGCACGACTGCCTCTGGCGCCTTGCGCGACACGGTACAATTCGTTCGTCTTCCCGGTGGTCTCGCCTCTGGGATGGCTGCACGGCGCTGCTCAGCCTCCCTCGGCGGCAACTGTGGCAGCCGTGAGTGTGCTCGCTGGATAATTAGGTTCCGCCCGTAGCCGGGGTCGACCCTTGACGCCGCCTGCGCCTTCGCTTGCGGCCGCGACCAATAAGTATCCCCACCAGCCCATACAGCAACGATGCTCAGACAAGTTGCCTTGATCAGGGAAGTGGGGGAGGATCAGCCTGAGCAGGGCCAGGAATGAAACACATGTGCGTTCGCGGACCTGTCGAACGAGTCAGGGTGGAGGAGAAGGATGAGGATGCGGGAGGAGGGAGAGGAGGAAGAGGAGGAGGAAGAGGAGGCGGAGATTATGAGGAAGGTGAACATAAGGCGGATGAGCTTAATTCAACACGTTCTCATTCAATTTTGGTCAACCCTGGTTGGGAGGAAGAGGAGGAGGAGGAGGAGGAGGAGGAGGAGGAGGAGGAGGAGGAGGACGAGGAGGAAGGAAAGGGTGAGAAGGAGAAGGAGGAAAAGGAGGATTAACAGGGTGGGGGTGGAGGAGGAGGAGGAGGAGGAGGAGGAGGAGGAGGAGGAGGAGGAGGAGGCGAGGAGGAGGAGGAGGAGGAGGAGGAGGAAGGAAAGGATGGGGGAGACGGCGATGGTGACGATGACGGCGACGATTCAAACGTAAATGACCTTGCGTACCTTTGCTCTGGGAGCCTCTTGGAGTCCTCTTGGAACCATCTTGGGGCCCCCTGTGGGGCACTTTGGGGAGATTCAGGAGCCCTCTTGGGGGCGTCTTCTTGGGGCCCTCTTGGAGTCCCCAGAGGGGCTTCTTGGGGCCATCTATGAAGACCTCGACCACAGAAGCGGGGTCCTTAGGTACGGGCTGCCCCTCTTGAGCCCCAGAAGTCATATCTTGGAGCCCTCTTGGGGCGCTCTTGGGGCCGACCTGGGGCCCCTGGAGCCGTCTTTGGCCTCTCGCGGGGCTCTCTTGGGACATCTAGCGGCCATCGTGAGGCTTCAAAAGCCCACCGGAAGCGCAAAAGCGAGAAGGCAAAAGTCATATATGCTCCTTCTTGTGGAGCTCCGTGGCCCTTGGCGCCATCTTGGTGCGATCTTGGAGCTTCTTAGAGGCATACTGGGCACCATCTTGAAGCCATCTTTCGATATCTCGATCAATCTTGGAGACCATTCTGGGCTCAGAGGCCATCTTGGAGCCATGTTGACCCAAACGCCTTCCAAGGACGCCGAGATGCCCAAATCTGTCAACAACCCATTGTTTTTGTCCAGTGATTCTGGCTTTGAGCGGAGGCGGAGGTCTAAATCAGACTCGCCCCCCTGGGGCCCCTATAATCGCCTCTTGGGGCCTTCTTTTGGCGCTCTTGGGGAATAATTGGGCCCTTCTTGGAACTTTCCTGGGCCATCTTGGAGCAATCTTAAGGCCTCGGAACCTCAGTGGAAGCGACAAAGCAAGAAAACAAAAGCTTGGGGCTTTCCGAAGGTATTGGAAGGATTTGGACCTTTGGGGGGACTCCTTCGGTGGTTCCGCAGCCACATGAGGCCATCTCGGGAGGGTCTTGGGATTGGAGTATGTTGAAAACCATGTTGGGAGATAGTTCGTTTTCTTCTTCCATCTTGGAGGTCTTGGGCCATCTCGGAGCCGTCTGGGGCAAGTCTGGACGCTCCACTGACCGGCGCCCCCGCCCATCCCTCGTTCAGGCACAGGGAGGGGGTATGGGGAGGGGTCAAGCTACTCACCCGCCCGCAAGTCGTCTGGCGCCCTCCCACCCGCCCTCCCAATACATAAGTAACACCCTAGCCTGAGCATGTTCAGCGGTCGTCTTTGGATGGGCAGCTACTGGGAACCAAAGCCGACCCCAGGTGCGCGACGCTTGAGCGAGGTGCGCCACGCGCGCCAGGGGCGCCACGCGCGCCAGGCATCCCTGGGGCCCGAGCGTGCCAGGCACGCCTGGTGCGCCAGATGCGCCACGTGCTCCGAGTGCGCCAGGTATGCCGCACACTCCAGCCGCGCTAGGTGCGCCACGTTCGGGGCACGCGCAGAGTGCGTCAGGTGCGCCTGCGCACCTGACAGCACACATCGTGAAACATGTCGGCCCCCGCCATCCCTGTCGAAAACCAATGCCCATCATTGTGTCTTGTCGGCCTGCGCACAGCAGGCCACGCGCCACCACCCCCGCCGTCCCTGTCAAAAACCAGTTGACAGTAATCGCGGGATGGCCGCGCATGATCCAGATTTAGCCGCGAGATGCATGTTGTATTTTCTTTTGTCAGGGATGGTAGCCCTGCGTACAGCAGGGAATATGCTGATACCCACGCCGTCCCTGTCAACAACAATACAAAGTGCTCGCGGGCCTCACGAACATGACTCAAGACTTTGCCCCAAAGTGTACTTTGCATTTTTTTCTGACAGGGATGGTGTGGGGGGGCGGGGGGGCGCATCGGGTTGGCCGCGAAAGCTCCACATGTGGAGGCAGAGTGCGGTTTGTATTGTTTTTTGACTGGGATTGTGCGGGGCGGGCTCGCATGGAGTCGGCATAGTTCTGGGTTGGCCGCCGGCTGGGTGGGGGAGGGGGTGTATATTTATAAGGAACAGTGATCAAGTTCCCAGCGAGAACGCCGCAAATTGTCTCGCTCACTCCGACCCGCCCTCCCACTACGTGAGTAGCACCCGGGTCTCAGCATAGGCAAGGGCCACCCTCGACGACCATCGGGAGCCAACAGCCAGGTCCGCGATGCCCGCGAGGTGCGCCGTGCGTGCCAGGTTCGCCACGCGCACCAGGTGAGCCACATCGGGCGATATGTCGAATGCCCCAGCATGTGTGTCAAAAACCATGCAGAGTGACGGCGGGCTTGCGAGCATGGTGGATTGCACACAGCAGGCGATATGCCGCCCACCCCCACCTTCCCTGTCAAAAACCAATGCAAACTGATCGCGATGTTGGTGCAAAGTGCAAGTCGTAGTGTTTCTTGCAATGGATGGTGGGTGGGGGTCGGCATTGGCCCGGTTTTGTCGCCGGTCCAGAGGAGAGGGGGAGGGGTTGTATGTTAATAGGGGCGGTAGTCTCGCTGCCCCCCTCCGAAGGACGGCCGTCTCGCTCACTCCGACCCGCCCTCTCACTTCCCACCACACAGGTAACACCCGAGTCTCAGCATGGGCAGGGACATGCAGGGACCGCCGTCGACAACAATCGGGGACCACCGCAGACGCCAGCCGGGTGCGCGGCGCCCGAGAGGTGCGCGCGTGCGTGCCAGGGCACTCCCCATCATCATGTCAAACGACAATGCAAAAGGATCGCGCGGCGCCCGCGCATGGTCCATATTCTGCCGCAAACTATACGTCGTAGTGTTTTTTTGCACGGGTGATGGGCGTGCGCGCCGCAGGCAACATGCCGGCCACACACACACACACAACACAACACAACACACAACACACAACACACGCACGCACGCACGCACGCACGCACGCACGCACAACACACACAACACACACGCACACACGCACACACACACACCTCGTCCATGCCAAGAAAACACTGCAAATGGGTCGGGTGGTGCCCGCACGTGATCCAGATTTCGCCGCAGAGTGCATGCTGCATGGTCTTTGGACAAGGATGGTGGTGGTGGGGGTATTGTCATGGTGCTGGGTTCGCACCCAGTCAGTTGGGGGAGGGGATTCATGAGAACATCTACGCCGAAGCTTCCCATACCGACCAAGGGGGACACTCTGGGCTCGTTCTTGCGTCTCCCTTTGGATATGACGCTTGGCGACAGTAGGCGCTCACCAAACCCCCTGCCTTCCGCATTCTCTTCCCTCTTCCGTCTTCATCCTTCTCCTCCCCTCCCCTGCTCTTGAGGTTCTCCCGATCTCCTTGGCTCCCCTTCCTTCTTCCTTTACCTTTTCCTCCCACCTCCTCTTTCTCTACCTTCTCTCCATCTCCCCCTCTCTTCACTTGTACCCGAGGAGAGAAGGTGTGCCAGCGCAGTTGCAGGCTGTGTTGGTTCGTCGTGGCCTCGGGTGGCCCCTCTCTTCATTTTTCGCACCCACCTGTGCTGAGCCAAAGAGTCTGAAATCGAATGGCCTTCGGCCCATCCCGCCACCGTGCCTGGGTTGTGGGTCAGAGTTGTCAGGGATGCTCCTTGAGGTCTCTTCGGAGCGGTCTCGGAGACCTCCTGGGGGCATTTTTGGGGCCAGCCTCTCGGGGGCCTCTTGGGGGCCTCTTGGGAGCCTCTTGGGGGCCTCTTGGGGCCTCTTGGGGGCCCCTTGGCTTCTTGGGACCTCCGGGGGACCGTTCGGGGCCGAGGGCTCGAAATGTCCGCTCGGGTCCCCCCATCTGGGCCCCCTCTTGACGCCGTCTATGGGGCCTCTTGGGCCGTCTTGGGCGCCTCGGGCCGTTATGGGGCCCTCTTGAAGGTCTCTTGGGTCGTCTTGGGGCGATCCTGGGGGCCTCTAGAGCCGTCTGGGGGCGTCGGGAAGCCGAAAAGGCGCGAACGCCCCAAACTGGCAAAAAGCACAGCAAAACCAATGATGTTGGCCTCTTGGGGCCCTCTTAGGAGGCCTCTTGGGCCGTCTGGGGGGTCATCTTGAGCGTTTTGGAGCGATCGTTCGGCGTCTCGAGGCTTTGGGGGCCGTCTTGAGAGCCTCTTGAGGCCCCCTTGGCCCGTCTTGGGGCCCTCTTGGGCACGAAAAAGTCACGCGAGAAGCCGCGCCGAGCCCCGCCAAGCCGCGCCAGGCCCAAGAAGATGTGGCAACTTGGGGTGTGGGCCCCTCAGGAGTGAGGACTGAGGCTAAGTGGACTAGGCACAGGACCTGAGGGCACGCCCACCCCGTGCCCAGCGGCACGGTGCTGCCCTTCGGTCAGTTCGAATCTAGGAATCTCTGGCTCGCCCTCGCCCTGGGCGCCAATGCGACCCCGCGGCCCCGAGATGGCCCCAAGATGTCCCCTGAGACGAAGCCGGGCATCTTGGGGTCGTCTCGGGGTCGCGGGGTCGCCGTGGCGGCCGGGGCGGGGGCGCGCCAGAGCTTCTTAGGTTCGAGCTAACCGAAGGGCAGGGTGGTGCTCTCTCCCGCGGGCTCGGCCCTCGGACCCGCGGGCTGGACAGCTCGACGGTGCTGGGCGGCGCAGGCCGGCCTCGAATGCCAAGGCGGCGCCCTCCGCGCAGGCGCACGCTTTCTCTCCGTGCGGCTCCCCTCTCGCAGGGCGCCTTCACGCTCGGGCTGCGGGCCGGACGGGCCGATGGCTGTTGGCAGGCCCTCTCCGGCGACGGGGCAGCTCGGCCTGCCTTCACTGCCGCCCCACCCGGCGCCTTCCCTGCCGACGCGGAGGGAGGGAGGGAGCCATGGCAGGGGAGGGGTCGAGGGGGGAGAGGTCGAGAGGTAGAGGGAGAGAAGGAGGAGGCGAGGGAGGGAAGGAGGGAGACAAGGAGAGAAGGAGGGGGAGAGGGAGAGGGATAGGGACAGGGAGAGGGACAGGGAGAAGAGGGAGAAGGGGATGACCGCAGGGGGACTGAGCTCCGAGTTGGCGCCAGAGAGCCGCATCGCCCCTCGGAAATGGTGGCTGAATGGTTGTGGCTGGGCCATGGACACCAGGCGAGGTCTGACGGTCGACCCAGCCCTCCCCCCCGACGACTCGACACGCTGCTCCAGCACATCCTCGAAGCCGCAAGTGGCGGCCAAGGAGGGGAGCCTGCCACTCCAGCAGTCCCGTGGGTCCTGCGCGGGCGGGCGCAGGTCCTCGAGGATGGCGTTGAGCCTTGAGCCGTCCTGGATACTGGCTCTGCCCGAGGCGGGCTCTCTGAGTGCGGAGGCCTGGGGCGCCTCGCCCCTGACCACGCGCGTCGAGGCCCATCCCTTCGGCACAGTGTCTGCCGACTGACGCGCCACACGGCACACAAGAGAGGGCACGAAGGCCAGGCTCAGCCTCGGCCCCCCCAGGAGCGGGCACCACAGAAGCCTGAACGACGGAGTGCCCGTTGCAATCCCAGGGAGCACCATCAACACACAGCAGTGCTGCGGGGGTCGAGGGGAGGAGCAGCAGGCGCGAGGGCAGGGTGGGTGCTGTCTCGGGGCAGCCCAGGCACAGGACCCGACCCGCCGGCACCCGCAGCAGCCGAGGAGGCAGAGGGGAGCGGAGAGGAGAGGGGGCCGACAGAATACGGCTCTGCACCCAATCTCGCACACTCCTCCAGCAGCCCTCTGCCCATCGGGTTGGAAGTGAAAGCAACGATGAGATCCGAGGTCCCAGCAGCACCTTCCGAGTCCGACAGCTCCAGAGCCCCAAACACTTGCGGGGCCCTCGCGTGCCATCTCGACGCGGTGAAAGCAAGCGTCTCCACGCCGTCGATGAAGAGGGCCTGCTGGGGGGGAACATTCCAAAGAAGAGCTCCCTTCTCAGCACAAGAGTCCGCGAGGAGGAGGATGAGGGCGAGGGTGCGGGCGAGGAGGAGGAGGAGGAGGAGGAGGAGGGATGGCAGCACCCCCAGGAATCTCATGCCACCAGGAACCAGGGACCAGAAGGAGGAGCCCTTTCGGATCCATCCGATCGGATGTGAGGGTGTTTCCGACCTGCCCCTGCGCGAGCTCAACGTGCGCCATTTGGCCACGCCCCTCGCGCGTGGGCGCTGCTATGTTTTACCATGGAGGGCAGAGTCCATCCTGGCAACATTACAGCTCGGCGGGATCTGCAAGTGGAGGGAGACGAGGAGGAGCCCCGAGGCCTCGATAGCTTCCGCTTTGCCGTTGAGAGGGCAGAGTCCATCCTGCCAATAATACGGCTCGGCGGGAGCTGCAAATGGAGGAAGGTGAGGAGGAGCCCCGAGGGCTCGATTGCTTCCTTTTTTGCCCGACCCACTGCCCGTGGCCTGAGCCATGACAGTCTGGAGGAAAATCCAGTGTCTCACTCGGGGCAGGCAGATTGCGCGATTATTCGAGTGTTCGTCCTCGTCGTTATCCCAATTCGGAATTCATGTTCTTTGTTTGTGTTCGATCGTCCCAGGGATGCTGGATATTGGGGATCCACCTCGCGGTTTTTCAGAGCTCGGGTACAGGAAGAGGTACACATACAATCAGATACAGGTTTGGGCCGGGATAGTAGGGGCAGGGGCAGGATGCAAATAGGGATCATGACTCTAGAGGGCCTGATGACACTCTACTCATCACCTACGGTCGGCACCATCACATGCACAGCGTCTGGTACGGTCGCTTGGCAGCTCGACAATTCACAATTTCGTTTAAAAGTCATTACTTCCACTCTAGCATGAAATTCGATTGATCCGCCCGGAATAATGAGAATGCTACTGCGAGGAATTAGCAATGGTCCTGGGTTGGCACGGGGTTTGTAATGTCGCCGTTTTACCTGCTCATCACATACGTTGTTTATAATTTGTATAGTTATCCGTAAGGGCTTCGCCCCCTGCCGCCGGCCCCCTCTCTCGGAGAATGGGCCATGGAAGAGCTAAGTCATGAGGCCTTGGCGCTGTCGTGAAGCAGTATCGAAACTTCATGCGAAGCCGAGTCGCAATCAGCAAAACTAACTGATCACAAGAGGGGTTACCACACCTGGCGATTGGTAAGACGTGTATGGTTTAAAGGCTTGGTTACCACACCTTGCGATTAAAGGGCCGAGGGAGTTCTCGCAGTTTGGGTTACCACGCCTTGCGATGGATGTGCGTGATGGGTTCGAATTTCAGAAATGTGGCAAATCCCCTGTGTTTTTGGACCCTGACCCCGCGGATCTGCGTGAGGGGTGGCACCGAATTTCAGAAATGTGGCAAATCCCCTGTGTTTTTGGACCCTGACCCCGCGGATCTGCGTGAGGGGTGGCACCGAATTTCAGAAATGTGGCAAATCCCCTGTGTTTTTGGACCCTGACCCCGCGGATCTGCGTGAGGGGTGGCACCGAATTTCAGAAATGTGGCAAATCCCATGTGTTTTTGGACCCTGACCCCGCGGATCTGCGTGAGGGGTGGCACCGAATTTCAGAAATGTGGCAAATCCCTGTGTTTTTGGACCCTGACCCCGCGGATCTGCGTGAGGGGTGGCACCGAATTTCAGAAATGTGGCAAATCCCTTGTGTTTTTGGACCCTGACCCCGCGGATCTGCGTGAGGGGTGGCACCGAATTTCAGAAATGTGGCAAATCCCATGTGTTTTTGGACCCTGACCCCGCGGATCTGCGTGAGGGGTGGCACCGAATTTCAGAAATGTGGCAAATCCCTGTGTTTTTGGACCCTGACCCCGCGGATCTGCGTGAGGGGTGACACCGAATTTCAGAAATGTGCAATCCCCTGTGTTTTTGGACCCTGACCCCGCGGATCTGCGTGAGGGGTGTCGATTTCGAGCCCCCCCAGCAATTCAGACAACGCGCCCAGGTGAGGCTAAAAGTCTTGTTTGGGCCTCCCCCCCCCTCGCGCGGTCAATCAACTAGTTACAGTAACCAGCAAGAAGTGAACTAGTTACAGTAACCAGCAAGAAGCAGAACTGTAACACTGGAAACTACAAGCTACAACTGGTACAGTAAACTGCGAATCACGCGCCTCGCAGCCTGGTGGCCCCACAAGGGGGCCGGCGGATATATAGACGGTGAACGCACTCACATTTAATAGCCTGGCTGATACAGCATGTCAGCCAGATGACGCTTTGAGGTCGCTGGGGTGCCGCATGCCCAGGCTGCATGCCGCGGCGGCACGCCCAAGTCTTGCAGGCGCCAATCAGCTCGGGGGATGGGGCAGCACTGCCCCGCCGGATTGCGCCGCGTGCCTGGGCCCTCCGGCGCGACAAGAAGCGGCGAGGGCTGGCCTTGGACTACGGCGGCGAGCCAGTCCGCCTGCATCAGAGAGCACCGCCGACCCCGCCCGTCTTCGCGACCGCACCGGCGGCGGAGCCCCGCGCGGAGAGGGAGCGCCGCGCGCGTCCTGCGCGTGGCTGCAGCCCGCAGCGTGGCGGCAGGACTGCGCGTTCGAGTTGCTGCCGGAAGCCGAGGGGCGGCGCCCTCGGGCGCTGGCGCTCCGCCGCTGGCCCTCCCAGGCTGAGCCGTCTCGTGGCCACGTTGGGGCAGCCCGGGCGCATCCTCGGGCGCAGTGTGGCAGCTGGGGGGCATCCTGTGGCCTCTCGGGCCATCCTGTTGGGCCTGTCTTGGGGCCACGTTGTGCACTGTTGGGCCTATCTTCTTGGGTCATGTTGTGCAACGTTGGGCCTATCTTGGGGCCACGTTGTGCACCGTTGGGCCTATCTTCTTGGGTCGTGTGGTGCAACGCTGGGCCTATCTTGGGGCCTCCGGGGCCCATTTGGGGGGCCTCCTGGGGCCGTGTTGAGCCATCTTGGAAGGTCTTGGCGGCGGGACCTGTTGGGGCCGCCTTGGGGCAGCCTTGGGCAATCTCTGGATTCTGGTGTTATAATGCCGAGGTCCTTGCAAAGGTACCAAAACGAGGAACCCCCAAAAAGTGTAGTCAAGAGTCCCCCGAGGAGTCTCGGAGGACATCCCGACAAAGTCAAACACACAGCGGAGAGACGAAAACAGCCGCTTTGAAGCCTGCCGGGACAGCCGAGGAGCATGACATGGGACAGGCAAAAAAAACAGTGGAAGCACTAAGGTTGTTCCACGTGCCTGGGCCATATCAGAGGCATCTTAGGGACATCGTCGGCCGTCTTGGGCTCTTGGGGCTCTCTTCGGAGCCTCTTGGGGCCGTCCTGGAGACCTTTGGGGCTCTCTTGGTTGTCCAGTGGCGTCGCTGCAGGAATCCCTGAGCGGACAGTAGGCTGAGGGATCCCCCGCCCCTCAGTTTCTGTTTGATTTCCTGCGCGGGCCCCCTAGAGGACAGTGCAATGGAGACAGGGCTGGAGAGACAGGAGGCAAAACAAAAGACTCCACAAAGAACACAAGACAACAGTCCAGCAGGAGACATCGCAGCCTGGAGCCAGGGTGGCTGGCGGATCTTATCATATGAATCGCTAGTATGTCGGTGCAAGGGCCACAGTGAGGGTCGCGTTTTCATAACGCAACTACCCTCTTCGTGCTCGTTCGTTCGTTCATCATCGTATGCTTCTCCTCCTTCTTCTGCTCCTCCGCTTCCATTGTCGCTACCGGTGCCTTCCACTGCGCTTCGCCAGGGCCATCCACGTTCATGACATACTATTGTGTGGAGGATCATGGTTGCCATGCCAGCTTGCCATCGCCACTGAACAAGAATTGTAGGTGCATTCGCTCGCGAAGTATGGGGTGGCAGTCGCGTGTGCCAGTTCCCCCGCAATCTCGATATTCGACATCGCTCCGATTTGCCATATCCGTACGGGGTTTCGCCCCCTGCCGCCGGCCCCCCCCCTATCAGAATGGGATCTATCAGAGTTGCGTCGGTGCGTCTCGGCGCTGCCCTGGCGCATCTGGGAACATCATGCGGGGGCGGATAGGAATCATCATCGCATATTGAGACATTGGCGGTGTCCTAGTGACCTTCGGCCCATCCCGCCACCGTGCCTGGGTTGTGGTTTTGAGGCTTCTTGTATATGTGTTTGGGTGTCGTGAGAAGCCTCTCGGGGGCCTCCTGGAGGCGGTTTGGGCGCCTCTTGGGGGCCTCTTGGGGCCTCGTGGGGTGTCTTGTGGGCCTCTTGGAGGCCTCTTGGGCGGAATGTTCGATTCGTGGTCCCATGCGTGGGCCCCTCTTGGGGCCGTCTGGGGGCCTTCTTGGGCCGTCTTGAGTGCCTCTTGGCCAATCTTGAAGCCCTCTTGGGGCCCTCTTGGAGGCCTCTTGGGCTGTTTTGGGGCGGTCTTGGGAGCTTCTTGGGCCGTCTTGGAGCGTCGGAAAGCCCAAAATGCGAGCCTTCGAAATCCGTTCGTGAAGTCCACGAGTGGGGCCTCTTGGAGCGCTCTTGGGGCCCTCTTGGGCCGTCTTGGAACCATCCTCGGGCGCCTTGGAGCACTCTTGGCTTCGGCAATGCGAATACGGCGTTATTTGCGCATGTTGATGGCCTCGGGGACGCGAATATTGCGTAGTTTACGCAGGTTGATTGCCTCGGGGACGCAAGAATTGTGCAACTTGAGAGGGTGAATGGCCTCGGGGACGCGAATATCGTGTAATTTACAGCGGAGTATGGTATATTATGGCCTCGGGGGCGCGAATCTCACGTATTTTTACGTGTCCCACGCCCCCCCCAGGAATTCAGGCAACGCGATTCGGGCGTGGTCAATTGTTGGCTTGGGGCTCCCCCCCACTCGCGCGGACTTAAACAATTTTCAGTAGGAAACTGAAAGCAGGACTGTAACATTGGAGACTTGCAACTGCAACTGGCGCAGGGATCGGCAAGTTCGCCCTACAGCCTGGTGGCCCCACACGGGGGGGGGAGCGAGCAACATCGTAACCACTGCAGCGTGGGAGGTCGATCACTCTTCTGGAATGAATATTGTGGCAAGCTCTCGGTCCAGGACATTGCATCAAAAGGAGTCCATTGAGGTTCTTTGCTGTTAAGTTGTTGCTTGCTTGTAAGTCTGACTCGGTCCCAGCAGGCACCGAGATTTGACACCTCAGATAGTCAAGCGTGACCATGGCTTCTTCACAACTGACGTGCTTTGCCTCCGTTGCCAGTGTGTCATTCACGGCTCCTTCCCCTGGGACAGCCAGAACGTGCACGTTGTTGTACCGCCATGCGTGGGGTTGTTCGGCACGCCCTGCCGGGGAGGGGAGAGCCACCTTTCGATGTTCGAGCGCAAGTAGTGTCTAGGGCGCAGGCGACCGGCACGAAGATGCAGCCCAGCGCCACAGTCGTGGTTGCGCGGGATGTCTACGTTGCCTCTGTCGCCTGTGGCAATCGAATCCTGACATCCCAAAGGTCGGGACTATGTAGGACTAGTTCCTTGAACCTTAAAAAACATTTCTCCTCTTCTTTTTGTTCCTAGAGACCCCGCATGCTGCTGCCAGGGAGCATCCTTGTAGTTGTTGCGCAGGCGACGTCAGGTCGTAACCGTCTGATTAGGACAGACAAGCCGTTCGTCTTCATGGCGTGACGACTCGATAAAAGCAAGCAGCCGTCATCATCGCAGGTCGCAGGCGCTCTCGACAGCTCGTGTCGGTGACGCGTCGTCATCATCATCATCATCATCATCATCATCATCATCATCATCATCAACATCATCATCATCATCATCAGAAGCAGCAGCATCATCAACATCAACATCATCGTCATCATCACCAAACTCATCTTCATCGTCGTCATCATCATCAGCAGCATCATCATCACCAACATCAACATTATCATCATCGTCATCGTCATCCTCATCAGCATCATCATCAGCAACAGCATTAGCATCATCACCACCATCACCATCATCAGCACCATAATCAGCATCATCGTCATCATCGTCATCATCAGCATCACCATCATCATCTTCATCATCATCACCAACATCATCAACAACGACAACATCAAACTCATCATCAGTATCACCATCATCAGCATCATCAGTATCATCATCGTCATCATCATCAGCAATATCATCATCATCATCATCATCATCATCATCATCATCATCATCATCATCATCATCATCATCATCATCATCATCATCATCACGGGTGCACTCCTTCCCTCCCGTGGTCGTCGCAGCCGTCGCTGCCACCGCCGTCGCCATCGTTACCATCGCTCTCGGCTCCGCGGCCGCAGTTGTTGCTTTGCTCGAATCTGGAAGGTGTCCGAGGCCCAGCACGACCACTCGTGTTAATTAGATGTTTCCCCAGACAGTGCTTGCGCTTGCTAGGTTCTTATTTCCCATTTTTCCCACCTACGGAACTGGCCATCGTTGCCCGGGTCGTGCCGTTGCCGCCCTATGGGGTTCCATGCATCGCGGCCTTCGAAACTTCAGTAGTTTCCACACACAGTTGCTGCCCCATGGGTGTTCACGCGCACGGCTTCCACACAACAGGTGTTCAAACGATTTCTATGCACACGGGGGCTCCACACGCACTGGGTTCCGCACCTAGCCGTAGCTATTTTGGTGCAGGGGCCTCTCAAGGAGGATGCTTCCCCTCGTTCGGCTCTCCCATCGATGTGCCCACGGACACGGATAGTGACGCTGAGGCTGCTGATGGCGGCGCTGGACAGCAGATGCGGACCGACTCGCAGCGCGACCCCGAGAGGGTGGCGGCGCGGGGTCGACGGGCGGCGCAGCAGCAGAGCCCGGTGGGCCTGGCGGGGTGGCGGCACTCGCCCGAGGGGGACCCTGGGTGCTGGGCTGCCAGGACGCGTGCGTGGACCGTGTGCTGGGCGCGCTGAGGCGGCAAGGCCGGTGGGGCTCCTCGACCACCTGCCCTCGGCCGAGCAAGCGGGTTGAGGCGCCCGGCGGAGGAACCCGCCCGTCAGGGTCCGCCCGCCTGCTCCCCTTCTCCTCCTCCTCCTCCTCCTCCTCCTCCTCCTCCTCCTCTGGAGCCTCTGGAGCCTCTGGAGCCTCTGGATCCTCCACGTTCCCAGCGATTCGCCAGAAGCGAGCCAGTAGGAGGGCGTGGGACGAGGGAGTCGGCACCCAACGGGCTGTGCGCCACAGGGGGGGGCGCGGCGGCACCGAGGCTTGCGAGGAGGCCGCAGGAGCGCGGAGGGGGCGCTTCCGCATGGCGCGTGCGTGCCTCGCCTGGCCCCAGCGCGCAGCAGGAGCAGATCGCCAGCAGGAGGGCCTCGAGAGGGGGCGCCCGTGACGGCAGCACGGGGAGCTGGGGCCCGTTCTGAGGCGACGGGGCCCCGAGAGACGCGGCCGATGAGTACGGGAGGCGCCCAGAGGCCCGCGGTTCAGCGAAGGCAGCCCCGGCCCACAGAGCAGCCACAGCAGGGTTCCTGCTGGGAGGCGCCACGGGGTCAGGGGACGAGGAGAGCGCGGCTGGAGGCCCGTTCGCGGATCTTTGACCACACGGACCTGGACGGCTATGCGGACTTGGAGTTGCAAGGAGGAGATGGCGGCCTCTCCAGCTGACAGCCCTGCCAGCCCGGCATCCACGCGGGGTGGCGCGGTGGCCAGCGTGGCCTTGCGGTGGCAGCGGCAACGTGGCAGGCGGCGACTGACGCTGAGGCCTAGGCGACTCGCCGATTGCGGCGCAAGCCAGAGTGCGAGTGCGAGTGCCGAGCAGGTCCTGAGAGGAGCGCCGACGCGGGCCCAGGAGGGCACCCTGGAGGTGCGGGAGGCGCGGCCAGGGCCGGGCGCGCGAGGCCATGGCGCAGCCGCTGGCCGAGGCCCCGCCGCGGCAGCGCCTGCGCTGAGCGCGGGCCGAGGCGAGTCGCCAGGAGCCTGCGCCGCTGCAGGCGAAGGGGGTGCAGCACCACGGGCCTTAGCTGTCCTGATACGCACGTGTCGACACGCAGCACGTTCCGTGTTCAGAACGTCCGTCTTAACGCGCTGCGCGTTGGCTCGTCACGTGTTGGCCCTACCTTTGGCGAATGCATCGCGCCACCGGTTGCATCGTGTGCCTCGTCTGCTCTGCCTACGCCAGCCGCCGCACGGAGGGCCTGGCGAGGGCTTGCCCAGAGCGCTCCGAGCGGCCAGGCAGGGCGGAAACCGAACGCCACCGCCGAGCGGTCCGCATCCGTCACGGGATCTACCCCACGGACAATTGGCTGCTCGGCCAGGTGGAGCAAGAGGGCTGCGGCGGCATCATTTTCGGCGTCTCGGCGCGTCCTGTCCCACGGTCTGGGGCGGGTCGGGGTGGCGGCCCCAGGGCACGTCCCCTAGGAAGGGATGGTGCAGAGCTGCCGTGGACTGCGCTGCGTGGCGGCCTCAAGGTACGGCCCACGTGAGGCTCGGCCGAGGCCTCACTGGCGTGTCGGCTTCAGGGTGGTACGGCGCGGAGTGAGTGGGGCGACGGCGGCCGTGGTCGCCACCAGCAGGGTCAGGACATCGGCATTGGCGATAGCTGCGCGTGCAGTGGGCAATGATTAATTGGGCCCCGCATAGGACAGAAAGTGCCGCACACACAGACACAGACACACACACACACAACCACACACACACACGCACGCACGCACGCACGCACACACGCACACACGCACACACGCACACGCACACACGCACACACGCACACACGCACACACGCACACACGCACACACGCACACACGCACACACACACACACACGCACACGCACACACGCACACACGCACACACGCACACGCACGCACACACGCACACACGCACACACGCACACACGCACACACACGCACACACGCACACGCACACACACACACACACACACATACACGCACACACGCGCACACGCACACACGCACACACCCACACACGCACACATGCACACACGCGCACACACGCACACGCGCACACATGCACACACGCGCACACACGCACACGCTCACACGAGCACACGCGCACACGCGCACCCGCGCACCCGCGCACCCGCGCACATGCGCACCCGCGGACCTGCGTACACGCGCACACGCGCACACGCGCACACGCGCACACGCTCACACGCGCACACGCGCACACGCGCACACGCGCACACGCGCACACCCGAACACGCGCACACGCGCACACGCGCACACGCGCACACGCGCATTCGTGCACACGCGCACACGTGCACACGCACACACGCGCACGCGCACACGCGCGCACGCGCGCACGCGCGCACGCGCACACGCGCGCACGCGCGCGCGCACACGCGCGCTCGCGCGCGCACGCGCACACGCGCACGCACGCGCACGCGCACGCGCACACGCACACGCACGCGCGCGCTCGTACGCGCACGCGCACACGCACACGCACACGCACACGCACACGCACACGCACCCGCGCACGCCCGCGCACACGCACACGCACACGCACACGCACACGCACACGCGCACACGCGCACACGCGCATTCGTGCACACGCTCACACGCGCACACGCGCACACGCGCGCACACGCGCACACGTGCACACGCGCACACGCGCACACGCGCACACGCGCACACGCGCACACGCGCACACGCGCACACGCGCACACGCGCACACGCGCACACGCGCACACGAGTACACGCGCACACGAGCACACACGCACACGCGCACACGCGCACACACGCACACATACGCGCACACGCACACACGCACGCACGCACACACGCGCATACGCACACACGCACACACGCACACACGCGCACACGAGCACACACGCACACGCGCGCACACGCGCGCACACGCGCGCACACGCGCGCACACGCGCGCACACGCGCGCATGCGCGCGCGTACGCGCACACACGCACGCACTCGCGCGCACACGCGCGCACACGCGCACACGCGCACACGCGCACCCGCGGACCTGCGTACACGCGCACACGCGCACACGCGCACACGCACACACGCGCGCGCACACATTCGCACACACGCACACACGCGCACACGCGCATACGCGCGCACAGACGCGCACACACGTGCGCACACGCGCGCACAGACGCGCACACACGCGCACACACGCGCAAACGCGCGCACACGCACACGCGCACACACGGACACACGCACACACGCACACACAAAACCACACACAACCAACCACGCTCAACCATCACAACCAATACAACCAATACAACCAACACAACTAACACAACCAACACAACCAACACAACCAACACAACACACAACCCACAACCTAACACACAACACACAACACGCAACACAACACAACATAACACACCGCAACACAACCCAACACAACACAATGCAACACAACACAACACAACATAACACAGCA